CTGATTATCTTCTGTATTTCTGAAGTGTCGGTTGTGATATTGCCTTTTTCATCCCGTATGCTAGTAATTTGAGTTCTCTCTCCTCTTCTCTTCTTTAGCATGGCTAAGGGTCTGTCGATTTTATTTATTTTTTCAAAGAACCAACTTTTAGTTTTGTCAATTTTTTGAATTGTTTCTTTTGTTTCGATTTCATTAATTTCAGCTCTGATTTTAATTATTTCTTGCCTTCTACTTCTTTTGCTGTTGTTTTGCTCTTCTTTTTCTAGGATTTTGAGATGAAGTATGAGATCATTTATTTGTTGGTTTTTTCTTTTTTTAAGGAATGAACTCCAAGCAATGAATTTTCCTCTTAGAACTGCTTTCAATGTGTCCCATAGATTCCAATATGTTGTGTCTGTGTTTTCATTTATCTCTAAGAATTTTTTAATTTCCTCCTTGATGTCTTCTATAACCCATTGATCATTTAGTAACCTATTGTTCATTCTCCAAGTGATGCATGATTTTTCCTTCCTTCTTTTATCTTTGATTTTTAGTTTCATTCCATTAAGATCAGATAAGATGCATGGTATTATCTCTACTCTTTTATATTGTCTAAGAGTTGCCCTGTGACATAATATATGATCTATTTTTGAGAAGGATCCATGTGCTGCTGAGAAAAAAGTGTAACTGCTTGATGTTGGGTGGTATATTCTATATATGTCAATTAAGTCTAGGTTATTAATTGTGTTATTGAGTTCTATAGTTTCCTTATTCAACTTTTGTTTGGAAGATCTGTCCAGTGGCGAGAGAGGTGTGTTGAAGTTTCCCATGATTATTGTATGGTGGTCTGTTACACTCTTGAACTTGAGAAGAGTTTGTTTGATGAACATAGCTGCACCATTTTTTGGGGCATATATATTTATGATTGTTATGTCTTGTTGGTGTATGGTTCCCTTGAGCAGTATGTAGTGTCCCTCTTTATCCCTTTTGATTAACTTGGCCTTGAAATCTATTTTATTTGATATGAGTATCGACACTCCTGCTTGTTTCCGAAGTCCATATGAGTGATATGATTTTTCCCAACCTTTCACCTTCAGCCTATGTATGTCTTTTCCTATCAAATGCGTCTCCTGTAGGCAGCATATTGTTGGGTCTTGTTTTGTGATCCATTCTACTAGCCTGTGTCTCTTAATTGGTGAGTTTAAGCCATTAACATTTAGGGTTATTATTGAGATATGGGTTGTTCTTCCAGCCATATTTGTTTATTTCTGTTACTAAACATGGTTTGTTTTCCTCTTTGATTATTTCCCCCCCCCTTTACTGTTCTACCTCCCACTGTTGGTTTTCATTGTTATTTTCCATTTCCTCTTCCTGTAATGTTTTGCCGAGGATGTTTTGAAGAGATGGTTTTCTAGCTGCAAATTCTTTTAACTTTTGTTTATCGTGGAAGGTTTTAATTTCATCTTCCATCCTGAAGCTTAATTTCGCTGGATACACGATTCTTGGTTGGAACCCATTTTCTTTCAGTGTTTGAAATATGTTATTCCAGGATCTTCTAGCTTTCAGAGTCTGTGTTGAAAGATCAGCTGTTATCCTGATTGGTTTACCCCTAAATGTAATCTGCTTCCTTTCTCTTGTAGCTTTTAAAATTCTCTCTTTATTCTGTATGTTGGGCATCTTCATTATTATGTGTCTAGGTGTGGATCTCTTATGATTTTGCACATTTGGCATCCTGTAGGATTCTATGATTTGGGATTCTGTCTCATTCTTAAAGTCTGGGAAGTTTTCTCATATTATTTCATTGAATAGATTGCTGATTCCTTTGGTTTGGACCTCTATACCTTCCTGTATCCCAATGACTCTTAAGTTTGGTCTCTTAATGTTATCCCATATTTCTTGGATGTTCTGCTCATGGTTTCTTAACAGTCTTGCTGAGCTGTCTATGTTCTTTTCCAGTTGAAATACTTTGTCTTCATTGTCTGATGTTCTATCTTCTAAGTGTTCTACTCTGCTGGTAGTATTCTCAATTGAGTTTTTAAGTTGGTTTATTGCTTCCTGCATTTCTAGGATTTCTGTTTGTTTTTTATAACCTCTATCTCCCTGTATAGTTGATCTTTTGCTTCTTGGATATGTTTATGTAATTCATTGTCGAAGTGATCTTTCATTGTCTGATTTTGCTGTCTAATGTCTTCCTTGAGACTCCAGATCATCTGAAGCATGTATATCCTGAATTCTTTATCTGACATTCCATCTGCTGTAGCTGTTACCTCTTCTAAAGTTGAGTTGACCTGCATTGCTTGTGGTCCTTTCTTTCCTTGTCTTTTCATACTGCTCGTGTTTCTTTCTGCTTGGTGAAACTGTTGTGTTTTTGAAATTTTCCCCCTATATATTTATATTGCTCTTGTATAGTTGAAAAGTCTCCCTTACAGGGGCGGGCGGCGGCTGTGCTCCTCCTCCAATTGGGGTGATCTGTCTACCACGCTGACGGGCTGCTGGGCCTGTTCTGCCAGTCGGTCGCAGGTCTGCCTACCTTGCAGGCGCGGGCGGTGGCTCTGCTCTGCCCCTCCTCCAATTGGTGTGACGTGTCTACCACGCCCGCGGACCCCTGGGCCTGTTCTGCCAGTCGGTCACAGGTCTGCCTACCTTGCAGGCACGGGCGGCGGCTCTGCTCTGCCCCTACCATAAATAACCAGGAACGCAAAGTTTCTATAGTTCTCTAGCATCACATCTCTATATAAGTTTTTCTGAACAGGCTGAAGGCATTCCCACTCCTCTTCAGTAAAATCAATGGTTATATCCTTAATGTTAACAGTTCCATTTCTAGGTTCTCATGAGTCGGGCCTGCTTGGGATCCTCAGCTCCTGCACAGAACAATCTGTGACACTGAAGTGTGAAACTAAATTCCAGCCAAATCTCATAATTTCTTTCTCAGAAAATTATTTATTGGTGAATATACAAGCTATTTATTTTTGTACTTTGATTTTGTATCCTACAATTTTACCGTATTCATTTATCAATTTTAATAGTCTTTTGGAGGAGTCTATTTTTTCTATATATAGAATCGTATCACCTGCAAAAAAGGAATAATTTGACTTCCTACCTGTTTGTGTGACTTTTCTTTCTTTCTCTAGCCTAGTTTCTCAGGCTAGGTATTCTAGTCCTAAATTGAGTAAGAGTAGTGAGACACCCTTGTCTTATTACTGATCCTGGAGGAAATGCTTTTAACTTTTTCCTATTTGCTGGTGTTGGCTCCATGCTTGTCTTTATTATGTTGAGGTACAGTCTTCTATACCTGTCATTTAAGGATTTTATCATGAAGAAATGTTGAATTTGATCAGATGTTTTTTCTACATCTGTAGAGATGATCGGGACTTTTCTCTTTATTCTATGGATAAGATGTATTTTGTTAATGTACTACATATAATGAACCATCCTGGCATCCCTGGGATGAAACCAGCTTGATCAGGCTAAATGATCTTTTTGTTGTGCCGTTGAATTTGATCTGCTAGAATTTTGAGAATTTTTACATATATGCTCTTCAGGGATTCAGTCTATAATTTTTTTGTACTTGTTCCTTGTCGGGTTTTGGTAATAGGATACTGTTGACCTTATAGACTGTGTTTGGAATGGCTCCTTCTCTTTCAGTTCTTTGGTATACTTTGAAAAAGTATTGGCATTAGTTCTTCTTTAAAAATTTGGTAAAAATTCAACAGTGAAGCATCTGGTCCTGGTTCTATAATTCCATTTTGGCAGGTCATGTGTATCCAGAAGTATATCTGTTGCTTCTAGATTTTCCAGTTTGCTAACACATAATTTTTCATAGTAATCCCTAGTGATCCTTTATATATCTGTGGTATTGATTGTACTATCTCCTTTTTCATCTCTAATTTTACTTAACAAATATCCTTTTAAATAATGAAAATCTAGGTTGAAGTATTAGAACAAACAACTAAAATTTAGTACTAGTCACTTTGAGGCCACTGTATGGTAGCTCAAAGTCATGTAGTTCATTTTATGCTAATTTGTATTGTATTATTTGAAAAGTAAAATCCTACTTAGTGCCCAGAATTTGAAATAATGCACATTGTTTTTAAAAGGCTGAATTCTGAAATGGACCCCCATGGGACTTCTCATAGTACTGGTATTTATTATGTTATAATTTTGTATTTTACTATTGTAATGATTTAATTTTTCATAACCTATAAATAGGGAGGATGCAAGCATTTATTAAGTAGTAATTTTTACAGTCACTATTCCAAAGAAGTAGGATGGAAATTAGAGCTACTAAAATGCCATGCAGATCATGTATAACTAATTAAAACAAATGAAAAAATTTTTAAATGCCATGAAGGAAACCAAACACCACCATAATATGTAGAGCACTGTTAATTTTTAAGAGGAGAAGATGGTGGGGGATAAAAATGTGCTGTGAAAATAAAAAGCAGCATTACAGGGACACGGTGGTGCTAATAGAGATGTGTGCTCTGAACCAGATCTTTCCCATGTTTTATTACTCTTTGTATCTGGTTTGCAATCAAGAGGATTTTATTCCAGCACAATATTCCTCTGTGTGTGCCTTGAAATAAGCATTTGTAACAGAAAAGTCTAAGGTATAGGGCTAAATTATTTTAAGAGTTATAAACATTGCCAGAGTTTATTTCTCAAAAGAGATACTTGTTAAATCCTTCTTTTACATTTTTAACAGAAAAGCATAACCCTAAGAACACCCTATATTTGAGGTTGTAAGGAAGTCAGTATGAAAACTATTTTAACTGTGTTGTATCATGGCAGTATAGTTCCAGAAAGTTTCAGAATTGCAGAATGGGAAGAATCAATTCCTGTCTAGGATACATATCTAATTTTTCACTCACTGACTATAACTTCTGTTCCAGTGTCCTTTAAAACTCTGATCATATTAATTACCTAATGTGTAAGGCTATTAAAGAAAAGGGCTGAGATTTTTGATATGCAATAGCAGTATTCCATCTTAATTCTAATGTTTTATTTTTCCCTTTCTTTAGATTTTGTTTGGATTCCAGTTATTGCTGTGTTCACAGTCTTTCTAGTATTTATCATACTATGTGTATGTGCATGTTGTCATATTAAGAAGAATCCATTTAAGAAAAAAAGCAGAATGTTACCCAAGTCCTTGGTAAAGTATTTAAATTTTTTTTATTTATAGATGCTAAAATGTAACTTGAATCTTTTTTGAAAGGTTTCTTCAATTTTGTTTGTAAAGTAAAATGATGTTCAGTATCATTCAGCAGAATGTGACATGCTGAACATTGTTATATTGAATCTTACTATAGTACTTTACATTGAAAAGTACTCAATCTCCACATATCCAGAATCATATGTTTTTTACTGTTCACCAGCTGCTGCTTTTGTTCTTGATACAAAAACACAAACGAGTCTGGTGAGGAGCTTAAAGTCTAGTGAGAAAAAAAGATGAGAACACGATTGGTGTGCTGTGTGACAAGTTCAAAGGCAGAGGCTTACATAGGAGCCAGTGAGGACACTGGCCATCTTTGGGGGTGGGGTTAGTTGTGGCTTTTCCAGAGGCAGAAATAGCTGAGCAGTCTTGAAGGACAGTAAGAGTTTATCCAGCTTCTAAGGCACAGTATGAGCTAAAGTCCAAAGTCCAGAAAGCCTGGCTTTTGATTATAGTTGCAGTGTAGAAGAGAGAAGGCCAAAAATTGGACTCTCAAAAGAGTTTGACACTTAAATGTCCAACATTTCAAAGTCATAATTATTTGAATCAAGTATGACAGGAATAACACCTGTAATGTTCAAAGGGCATATTGAAATTTGCAATAAAAATACTACCTTAAAGGAAAGTGGCTAAAAATTATCAACAGTTAGTTGACAATTCATATATGAATTATAATAGTTATCCTTACTAGGAATTAAGCAAAAAGACACCTTGCAATGTGCCATTTTAAACTCACTAGAGAAAGAAAAATAAACCTAATGATCCAGTAATTCCAGTAGTAGTACAAGTTATGTGTACAGGGGAAAAATAATGTAGTCTTAGTGGGAAGTTAAGCCTGCAGGGTGTACAATATGGTAGTACCGTAAGTCTGCCATCCCTGTAAAGAGTCTTTTATTCTAAGGAAATAATTTCATAAATGAAAATACATGTGAAATATTCAACATGTTCTGTAACTGGCAAAAATTGGAAATAATTTAACATCTATTAAAGAAATTATCTATCAGTATAAATTATATAAGCCAGTGAAAATTATAATGATAAAGAAAATTAATGAAACTTTTATATAAAATAAGTAGTTGGGTCTGGGAATGTGGCTCAAGTAGTAGTGCACTTTCCTGGCATGTGTGAGGCACTGGGTTCAATCCTCAGCACCACATAAAAATAAAATAAAGATATTGTGTCCACCTAAAGCTAAAAAATAAATATTTTTAAAAAATAAGTAGTTGTACTCCCATTACATATTTAACAAGCATACATATAGGAGGTGATGTACAAAAAGCAATAATACTTATGTAAGATATTAGATGACTTCTTAAAAATCCCCCAAATTTGCTTATCATGTCAATACATTATTTTTCATTTAAAAAAGAAAGATAAAAGCAACTATCTGATTCCATTATACTATTCTAAATATGCCATGTAGTAGCCCATGACCTTTAGGCTTTTTTTTTTTTTTTTTTTTTTTTTGAGAATTGGCATTTAAGTTTAATAATTTATTAATTTGCTATCTTTAATCACTTTCTCTCCCTTAGCTTTCTGTGGTAAGAAATGCCACTTCAGAGACAAAACCTGAATCAAAATGTGTATCGCTCATCACATCATACCAGCCATTTGTCGTAGAAAATGAGACGGTGGTCTGTGAAGAGCCATTGTCTCCAGTAACAATTCCAGGCATACAGACAGAAGATAAACCAGGAAAAGTAGAACACAGAAAAGAACCTTCTAGTGAAACACAAGTGGTGACTGCTGAAGAAAATATTTCTGACCTGGCCCTGAGCAGCCCTATGTCTTCAATAGAGAGAGAGAATTCTCTCCATTCAAGTAGTAATCTGTCAGCACCCTGCAGCAGCACCTTGAATTCCTATCACTCCAGGAATGGTTCTGATAGTGGCCTCGTGGGATCAAATGACTTCGTATCTGAATCAGAATTACCCCCAAGTGATACAGCTGAAATAAAAACAGAAGGACAAATATCCACAATGCTGAGAAATGCCCCTACCTCTTTTGGTTATGATAAACCACATGTGATTGTGGATCTGATTGTGGATGATAGCTGTAAAGAGTCTTTGATTGGTTATAGACTCACAACAGATTCCAAAGACTGTTCATAAGATCATCTAAGATGCACCAAATTTTGAAGAATCTCATTTTTCTGGATGGTTTTCTGCTTTGGATTTGGGAAAAGACCATAACCTCAGAAATTGTGTCTTTGTTGATATTAACCAAAGGCAGTATCTTGGTTGAGATAAAGATCATTGGAACCCTTGCATTTGCTTTGAAAACCAAAGACTCTTCTTTAAAAAAAAAAAAAAAAGGACAAAAAACCTATCATGGCACTTATGAACCTTTTATTTAGGTCCTAGCAATATCAGCGAATACTCTCCATTTACTCCTGCTTCCTACTATAGCAGGGGTGCTACATTCCCATCACTTTAAGGGATATAATGACACAATTATGGACACAATGGTGCAGGCCTATAACTGCAACAACTCAGGAGCCTGAGGCAAGAGGATCGCAAGTTCAAGGCCAGCCTCAGCAAGTAGTGAGGTCCTGAGCAACTTAGCAAGACCCTGTCTCAAACTAAAAATTAAAAAGGGCTGGGGATATGGCTGAGTGCTAGAGACCTTGCCTAGCATGTGCGAGGCCCTGGGTTCAATCCCCATATAGCACAAACCAGAGCCATATAATGGTGTTTTGTCTTTTCTGTGCCTCATTTGTTATTTGTTTTATAGTATTAAGTGCTTAACTCTCTAACCTTTCCAGGATTGTATTTAAAATCTAATTCAAACTAATAGAATTACTACCATATATAAATAGAAGCATATAGGGTTTTTTATGGAACATTACATTTAATGTTTTTTTTAATAAAATACTTTTTAAAACTTATTTTTGGTATTTATTTATTCAAGCACTTAGTCTTTTATAGTTGACCAGGGTTTTTTTTACCCATTGTTTGTTTCTGTGCATTAATGCTATAGAATTATTTTCAAATTGTTTATAGCTGACCTTTAAAACAATCCTAAAAATAATTACTCTTTTTTTTAAAAAAATGGCCTTTTATATCTATCTTTTAGTATATAGCACCCAGAATGCAAAACCCAGCTCTAAGTGCTTTGGGAAGAAAAGCAGATGTCACTCTTGAGCTTGAGGACTGAGAAGCCTTTGGCAGAAGGGTGGTGTTCACAGACAGCCACAGGAGGGAGGAAGGAGCCATGAGAAGTGTGTGGTGTGGAGAGTCCCCAGGGAGGGGAAAACCAAAAGTTGATATCTGTATACAGGAATTCTTGGAATCATTAAATGGGTAGGAATATTAAGACTCACAGGAATTAATGGCCAACAAAATTTTTTAAATAATTTACATAAACAAATTAACAAATAAGCCATGGGAAAATTTTTCTCCTCACTTAAAAGTACAAATTAAAATGAGATGCTATTTTATTCTATTTGAGTGGGGGTGATAGTAGTAAATACTGGTATAATTTACAGTGAAACTAGTATACTCATTTTGGGGGTAATTTCTTGTGAATTGCTTTTCAAACTGTTATATAAGTACATGTCACATTCTATAAAAGTATAGATCCTTTGACAGACTTTCATCTCTTTTATGAGAAAAGTATTTTTAAAAATTCTTAAAATGGGAAAAAAAGCAAAATTGAAATAGCCAAGGGTAAGGTAATAGTCACTGCTCTCAAAGGATTATACAAATGTGTACTCCTACCAAATGTGAATGAAATACCTATTTTTATGCCCTAGCTAATTCTGACTGATACCAACCAGTCTTTGTAGGTAAAACACACTTTAATGCTTTTGTTTGTTTTTCTTTAATAATTAGTAATGTTGAGCATTTTATATATATTAGGTCTTTATACTTCCATGATTTAATTAACCTGGTCTTTTGTCCATTATTATCTAAGGTGATGTCTTTCTTACTGATTGTTACCTTTATCTGCCTCAAGCTACATAAAATTTATTTTATAATTTCTTGCCTTTTGACTTAGTTTCTTTCCACACAGATGTTTAAAATGTTTATAAAGTGAAATTTATTTATTGTTTCTTTTCACTCTTAAAAAGTCCAGTTTTCCCCAACAAATACATTTTCATCCATGTTTTTTTCTGGTATTTGGGGAATTCATTGTTTTCATTTTTACATTTAATTCTTCATCTAAATTTTGTTTTTAAATAAAAACGAGATAGCTTATTTTGTCTTAGAAAACTAACTGGGCACAGTGACACACGCCTATAATCCCAGGGACTGGAGAGGCTAAGGCAGGAGGATTGGACATTTTAAACCAGCAACTTAGCAAGGTTCTAAGCAACTTAGCAAAACCTTGTATCAAATAAAAAATAAAAAGAGCTGGGGATGTAGTTCAGTGGTAAAAAGCCCCTGGGTTCAGTCCCTAATACCACAAACAAACAAAAAGCTGACAAATTGCAGATTAATAAGAGAAAAAAAGGAACATACTCTTGCATTGTAGTTTCTAAAAGACTGCTTGTATGTACAAAAATATTATTGTTACATACTGTTTTTGTATTAAGCCAGCATCTAAACTATTTTCCTCATGATTTCCAATTGACTGGTTTTCCCAGTATACAACTGTATCATCTATAAGTAAGAGTAATTTGGCATTCTTATTACCAATATTATACCTTTTCTTTTATTCCTTGTTTTCAAAGATGATGAATTGGTGTTATGTATTTCCCAAGAGCAATCAACCAACCCTGGTGACTGGGTAAATTATTTCACCCTCAGGGGGAGTTAAATTGAACTCCCTATACCATTTAAGAGGCAGTATTTCCATTGTGTTAACTAATTTCCTACATAATTGTGTTTCTTGATAAGTAAATCATGTGAGTGGCGAGAACATGAGGTGAAGGGGTCATTCTATAAAATGGGCCTACCATGCCAATCCCCACATGCTTTCTTTTAAAAAGCAATTTACCTGCAGCCATGCCTGGCTTAAGTCAATAGGATATGCTATATTTCTCATCAAACAACCTGTTACAGGAAAAAAGTAGGCCCATGAAACTCCTCCCTGCCAATAAGAACACAAGTTACCCTGAAGTGGAAGTCTTTTGTAACCTTTATAAGACTCAAGGACTCAAGGACACAGGATGATTAAGAGCAAAGACTCCACCCATGCCTAAGAACAAGTTCCAATTTGAATCAATCAGCCAAAGTGACCCAGAGTTGCCTTAGATCCTCAATACATCATTATAATAGTAAAATCTCCCCTTCATTGGGTAAGACCATATGCAGTGGGGACTTGAAAGTCTGATACAATCCTGCTGTCATTCAGAAGTCAAGGGTGGACTTGGGCAGTATTCTGGAAACTTTCCTGGGACCCCCCAATAAAACAGAAGGGCAGGAGGGGTGCACCATTCCCTCTCCTATCTAAGAAGACTCTCCCTTTTTCCTTTCCCCATCCCTTATAATCAACTCATGCCTACTACTCTGAGCAACACATATGAAGTCTTTCTGGCATGGTTACAAGAACTGGTGACTGAGGACATTTGTGATCACATCAACTCCATGAATGGCCTCGCTCTGTAACATTTGTATTTTTTCCCTTACATTATTGCTGGTTGCCAGAAACTCATGTTATTGCATCATCATTTCATGCCAAATTAAATAATTGAAGATCACCGCTTGTGTCAAAATTAAGGTACTTGTTCTTGTGCCTACTAAGAATGTAAGTGGATGACTTAAATACTGAATGCTAGCTTTGTTCACAGTCTTTGATTAGCTTCACTGTGTAGTGTACACTTCCTCTGCTTTGGACCCTTCTAGGTCTTTATATTCGGGAGCTTGAACACTTTTCATCACTTTCTACCAGAGATACCAATCAGGAATGAATGAATGCATGAATTTACAAACTAATGAAGACAGAAGGGACATGAATGACCATCAACCTCTGCTATAGGCAGATGCTTGATGAAGTTTCTCTCACTGACCTTCATAGCTATCTGGTGGGGCTGGTATTGTATAGCCTTAAAATTAAGGTTAAGAATAGAATTATGTCAGGAAGAGGATGCCCTAATTAGTTACACAAGTGGAAATACTATCTCTTAGAGCCAAAAGGTAAAGAGAATTTAATCCTGCACCCACAAGGCTCAGTGATTTACCCATGGTCACCAGGCTGTCAATCACCTTTTCCAAGTAAGGAAATGAGGGACAAGAAAGTTGAAGTTTTCCTTTAGGTAAACTAGAAACAAAAGAGGTATGTCTTGGGAATACAACTTAGTAGGAACTAAGAATGCAAATTAAAGAGGCAGGGCTGGGCCTTGAGGAGTTGAGGGGAGGGGGGTCTCAGGGCTGGGACAGGTGAAGCCCAGAGACTGAGCCTGTTGAGTTGGCACATGGACACCTGAGGCCTTGATGGTTCTGGGGCAGGAGCTCTGCTGGGAGATGGGTTAGGCTCATGAAGAGATAGGATGGAGAAGAGAGGAACCTTTTGCTTGTTAAAATGAAGCCCCTATTTGTGAAAATAATGAATGTTTAAATGGACTTAACTGAGTACAGAAACCCCAGAAATCAAATGAAGTTATTAGACATCTGGTTTTGTGTGGCATTTGAAGAGGGATGATAAATAGCATTATACAGGCCCTTGAATGCCAGGATGGGGACAACTTTGCAAGTAGATAAAGCTCAGAAAACTATATGTTGAGGGATTTAAACTCAGGTTTCACCTTTCTCAAAAGCCCATGTTTTATCCACTAAGGTATGACATCTCTAATTTCTTATATTAAAAAGCACCTCTAGACCTTTCACTTATCTTTTAACAATATGAATATATTCATGCTTTGTTTAACTTTGACCACCTGATAGACACATCCGGAAATAACTGTAGGTGAAGTTGGAAATAAAATCTAAATAAGTTACCTATTGATTACTCATTTACTCATAATGCAACACTTTCTTAAAGTTACTATTTTAAAATACAAAAGGTATTTTCCTTACTTTGTGGTTCATGAGAACTTTCAAATTTTGTTTGGAAACTCAGTGTACATCTTGTTGGGCTGATATATACCGAAACAGTTGCCTGGCCACATTTTATCTTTGTTCTTTTTAAATTATTATCTTTGTTCTTCAATAGTCATTTAGCAAGTTGAACAGTAAATGATAACCCATCTCTCTGTCCTCTCTCCCAGAAAGCAAAACAATAAGAGGATTTCCAAGCTGGGCAAAATGGCACACCTGTAATCCCATGTACTCATGAGGCTGAAGCAGGACGATTGCAAGGTTGAGGCCAGCCTCTGCAACTTAGCAAACAATGGTTTAGGAGAAACCTAATCAATAGGTAACTTATTTAGATTTTATTTCCAACTTCACCTACAGTTATTTCTGGATGTGTCTATCAGGTGGTCATTGCTGGAAATGTAGTTCAATAATAGAATGCTTGCCTTACATATGATATGCAAGGCACTTGGTTCATTCCCCAGTTCTTAAAAAAAAGGAAAATAAAAGAAAATTTAAATTTAAAAGAAGATAAAAATGAGACAGGAAAAATATTTTAATTAGACTATATGACTAATTACAAATCTGGTTTCTCAAAAAAATGTAAAGATAAATACTGAGCTAATTTGCTAAAAAATAAAATAATTAAGCAAGGAAGAAAATATCATTACTCAAAATAGTAAACTATCCAAGAGAAACCACAGAAATAGAAAATTAATAAACCATAAAGGGATAACTTGCTCAATTCTATTCAAGTAAATATAAAAGCATGAATGAAATGGATGATTTTCCAAAGAAAATAAAATTTGCAGAAACTAAAGCTAGAGGAGAGAGGAGAGAAAAATCTGAACCAATTACCATAGAAAAATTGGATTGAGAAAATTCCAAAGAAATGCTCCCAGAAGCACTACCACTCTCCAAGAAAGCACCC